CCCCCCCCCCCCCCATCTCTCTCTGTCGTGTGTGTTTACTGACAATAATACACGAGGGACGAACGTCCAACTCAAAACAAAACAATGCAGGATTGATGTATTAACAAATTTAAAATCAATAGACCCTTGGCAAAAACCTTTTCGCCTATATTGACAAGACAGATGAAAAATTATACCCAGGGGTATTCATGGGGTTCTCAACTGTACAAAAAAACTCGTTCAAAAACGACTGATGAAATGAAAGATAAGAGAGCCATATCGGGTATACCTAGGCAAAATATCAAACAGCGGGTAACACCTAGGTGAAAAGCGTTGCGATTGACTACTTAGTAACGGGCGTATGCTTGTACTATGTAACTGAAATCTAATGATTAATCAAACATGTGTTAAAAGAGGGTTTAATAAAATTAAATTTTGCAGTGATGGTTAATCGATATAGCGTGTTTAATGACGAATCGCGTCTCCTGTGCTCTGGTGACGCTGTTGCAACGCTGTATCCTCTTTTTAAAAGGACTTGAATGTAACGCGAAAAACGGCCAATTCACAGTTCGAAACAACACTTGTCCATTAAAATAATCCACTCTCTGTGTATTTGTCAATCATTTATCTGTTATCCGACATAGCATATCACTTTGTAACGTGTAGCGCGGACACGAAGAGCCACACACGAACACGCACCTACTCTCACGCCCACGTTCAAACGCAAGCTCGTGCGACCACACACACACACAGACAAAAATATACAGATCACCTACCCTCAGTTAAGATACATTACCCTAAATTATTTAAAAATGACGTTTGAACTGACTTCAGATTACCAGCAGTTTACTGGGGTCTTCGTTAAATATTCAAGCCTCTTCGATACATAGTCGGTAGACCTCATCCTCAGAAATAATTATATAATTTACCTGTGTTGACGCAAAACTCAGCTTCTGAAAATCTATTAGAAAATGTAAGGAATATCCGGATATTTCCTTGGTGCAAGTATCAGATACTGGTATGGGCGAGAGGAGTAAAGGCAGCAAGCGAAATGGGGCGACCCTCTCACATGGTTCTCTGAAAAGGGAGCGTGCAACTTTGCGGAGACTTGCCGTCCCCGTAGGTTATTGTTTTGGGCAATCTCAAGAGGTTTGTGGGCTCTTGAGACAGTAGATGGATATCAAGGTTGCTAGACGACTTTTCGCGTTTATCGTCGTTTTAATACCTTCGTCAATATTTGCCGCCAAGTAAGTTGTCATCGAGATAGACGTAATGAGTGTGTAGAAGCTTCATTCCAATAGGAAATTAGTAAAAATAAAAACTGTCCTAACACTCAATCGGACCAGAATTTTGGGCACTTGTCTTAGTCAAACTACTTGACTCACGCTGAGACAAATTTAACAAGGATAATCTTTCTACTTCTGTCCCACTCGCTAAACGACCCAATGTACTCCAAGAGTCTAAACCTTCCCGGCCTTGTTAATTGTAGGAAATATGAAAAGTAATACGGATAAAAGCGTAAAACCAATGTACACGGCGAAGTGCACTTTACAGTTCTCCGGGCAATACTGCGACGTTGATGATTAGCTTCAAACTGAGAAAGTTAATGAATTTATCCAAATATGGCAATTGCATGCGGCTAAAGAATACTGAAGAGTAGAGAAATCAGCTTTTGGACAAGATTACTGAGATAAAGTTAAGGTTAAGAAGGATTTGTGCCACAGTCGGCTCACTGACTGACTGGAACTAGCAGGGTTAGAGAAAATTCTTATCTATAGTGTGGTCGCCTCATTTTGCTGAAGTTCTCATCTCAAGTGCACTGGTAAAATATTGACTAGCATCTCCTTTTGGACAGAGATACATACGCCAGTCCCATGACACAACAGCAGCTAGAAGCCCACCTTTTTATGACAAACACCCAAATATATTTGTAAAATAATATCGAGATCCTTCATCTTCATAAGTTAAAAAAAAAGAACAAGAAAAGAAAAAAAAAAAAAAAAAAAAAAAACAAGAAAAGAAAACAGAAATAAAAGAAAAATAATTCAAGAAAATATCCACACGTAGCCTTCTCTTGTACTTTGTTGGTCCTTGAAGTCTGTAAAAGATTCCAACCTCATATTTTTTCGACATTTAAGGCTTTATGGCGGACAGGCGCGACTGCTTGAAATTTTAGATCAGTGAAAAAAGTACTAAATCGCATGAACTGTGAGGTGAGGATTTCTGTTGGTAATTCAGTTAAGAAAGTCATAAGTATAGATGGATGCTAGGGATTTAAGGCAAGGGTAAAACAATTCACCAAAGTCTAAAACTTTTCAAAAGTTCAAACTTCATTTATGATTAAGCGAGGAAGTTATTCAGAGTTTTTTAAACATATTTACAGTTTTATACTTGAATATTTGTTTGCATAACGGCAAAGTAAAATTGCATAGGTGTGTGAACATTGGAAGAGGTCAGGTCGACAAGATACTGTGAGGGACGAAACGAAAATGAAAAATACACGCTATTTCGACCACTCTATAGACGTGCATTTCCCTTATCTAAGTTGTTTTCTAGCAAATAAAACCTTTGCGTGAAAGTAGATGCTTTATTCTGAAATCATACACGCCCCAAGTACAAACGCTAGGCGGATTTGAGGCACAGAGAGCCATGAAGGAGCACTTGACATTCCGGCTCTCGATGTCTCCCTAAACCGACAATGTTTGGTATAAGAGTGGGACTTAACAGCTAACTACGACCCACAAACCTTGGACAAGCCCATGAAAAAAAGCTTTATTTGAAATCAAAAGTCAAAACATTTGGGTTTCGCCCTTCTTCCCAGTGTCAGGTTTGTAGACCTAATGTTTGGCGAACCTTACCACCTTCACTTATTTTGCCATCTGCTTTATGTAGAAAAATGATGAAAATGAGACTTTTTATTGAACTAGAAAAGATATATTTCGACCCCGTCCTAGGTGGTCTGCCTGAAACGTTCCTCAAGCAGCAGCTCGCTTCAGACATTTTAGCTTTCTTATCTCCGTAAGTTGGCAATTTATTTCAGATAGAGAAACACGCACGGAAGATAACAAATACTGTACAACCGATACTCTTTCTTCAGAGCCATTCATAAGAGGCGCTATTTTAGTAACGACAATGATAAAATGACTTTGTAGTAAAAATAATCTCTAGAATATGAAAACATATTATATATTGGAAAAAAATTAAGTTTGATATTTTTGTATTGCAATTTTATTGTTTTACTTTTTATAAAAAAAGATGAATTCAATCTTATACTGTAAACACAAACTTGTGAACCTCAATGGTGATTTTTAAAGATGTAAGCTTACAATAAAAGCATAGGCGCCTTTTACTCATCAAAGCCACGTTTCGCTGACCACAGATTGAATCTAAAAAACTACGGTCTCTGACGCAGAGATTTTACTACGCTAAAACAAGATAAAAACATTGACTGGCGCCAGGAAATTGTTACATGGCATGATGTGCTTCGAACCTTAATAAAAGATATAATTTTAGGAAAAAAACTTAACCTTCTCAACTGACGGATTATCACTAAATGCCTGACTGTGATTAGCCGTTTAGACATTCTGATCACATTGACGCTTATTTGGCAAGAACTTGACGGGAGAAATCGAACGAAAAAAAGAGCCCACTGTTTTGATACTAATAAAGACATAGATAAAACTGAAAGGATGTATTAATCAAACCCTCACTTATCCACTATACGTCAGCCTCATTTCATTACTATGAATAACTGTCCACAGATGTGCATGGATTTCATGGTCAATTTGGAATTTGGCATCACTGCCTGTCATATTACAATGCAAAACGGGAGAATCTCAACATTTGTATCCTCTGCACTTTGTCTCTTTTAAATCTTTTATTTCTATTTGATTTACTTGCTCTATTGTTCTGCACAGTGCGGGTTTATGATGGCAGTAAACTGAATTTTTGATGGAAGGAAAAAGGCGGCGGTAGAGGACCACTCTTCCTCTTGACTAAAGAGCGCTGTCGTATCTAGTGGCAGTTCATTTTTCATAGACAAAGCTGGAATTTTGAGCAAGTTCTATTTTTTTTCTCTCCAGATTCCAAACCAGACCAAGCAGCCTGTTTTGTCAGTCAGAAAATATGTGACATTTGGATTTGGATGCTGTAGCTGAGAGGGGAAAATCTGCATGGATCATTTATCAGTCAATGGGCTAAACCTTGTAAAACCAAGATACCATCTTGCAAGGAACTCAGAAATTCTTTCCAGCCGTCTCACTAACATGTCTTAAGCCGACAAGTCTGAAAAGTCACTTTCTTTGCTTTTGGGTTGTTTCACATAGGATAAAAATGTTTGTTCTGCATAACTGCCACTTGGCAAGTAATCTATATACTTTGACAAGTCAGAAACCAGTTAACAGAAATACAGTTAAGTAACAATTCTAAAAAATCTTAGATTTGATCCACTTTTATTGGTATTCATATTCACATATGGTACTTGATATGTTGTAAGTACAAAACAGACAAAATACAAATGATACTTTTTAATCAATAGAAGCTCAACAGGAATAAAATCATAGCCTGAGGACTGAAAAAAAAATGCACATAGTCTGCAGGCATGCTGTGTCTATATGATGTTCAAGTGCTATTGTTTCCATATCAATGGTGCTGATATTGACTCTACACTATCAGAACTGACCATTAGCCATTATCACTACTTATCACATCCCCTTTCATATGAGCAATGGTGGCATGATTGGCTTTCAATATATTCTGTACATTAAATTTATTCAGGATTTATACAGTATTATTTACATAGGAAATCTACATATATACATTTAATCACAAGGTGCCCCAGACAACAATGTCTGGAGTCGTTGTATCGTATTTGTCACTGTTATCATACTCCCAATAGGAAAGCTTGTTTGGCTGCTGTTCCCTGCTGTACTGATTCCATGTGGGGTACAATTGGGTTGTTGAGGGTGGCATTAAATGTGCCTTGTAAAACTGTGTCCTGGATTAATGGAGAGAACTGGAAAAGAAAAAAAAAAAAACAAATTTATACATACACATATTACACAATGTATTGAGTGTATGATTAAGGAAAATGACTACCACAGGTTATTATAGTACTGATAGAACACTTAAAATGGTAAAATACATCCTTGCAAACTAAGCAATAAACATTTGGAATAGTTTTACAATACTCAATATGAAATAATCTAAGTTGATATCAAGAGAGGGATGTTTGTCAAGTTGGTTTAAAGATCAATTTCACTGCCTGTCTGTGTGCTTGGTTTTTATCTCTGGGCCTCAATTTCAACCCACACAGGACATCACATTTTTATAATTTGGAAAATATTTTCTGATTTTGAAAAAATGATTGTGCTTATGCATTGGTTCATGAAATTATGGCATATACAAATCATACAAGCAAAAAGCTCATGCATTTTTGATAAAGAGGTATAAACAAACTTTGTCAAACCTGCAGAATTCACTGAATCAATAAAATATAAACTGCTCAGAACTGTGCCCAGAATGACAATGCAGTCTTAATGAAGTTGGAGACGAGGAAGAGTGTACATCATTGACTGGTCCCAATTAGATGATCAGGATTCATTTATGCCGTTCACTATCAAATTTGAGTGTAGCGGAGTGAAATGCATTGATTAAATTATCTATAGAGAGTCAAAGCATGAGGACAAGTCGGCTGACAAGTAGTTGTCAGTTGTTTTCTCGATGATTCACTCAGCTTTGCAGACAATGAGAAAGTGGATGAGGATCAATACCCAGTCTAAATGATGGTTCAATTTCTCGGATTAAGCCCCAGTTCATAAGCTGATTTATGATTTTTCTTTCAATCTAGATTTATTGATAAACAAAAAGATAAGGAGCCCAACATCATATCAGGTATTTTGACTCGGTTCAATGGGCCTCTTGCCATGGGATGCCAAGAAACTGTGGATTATCCTGGAAGTATGGTTTGGCATTGAAGTGATTCCAAGATTTGCTTTCTGTGACTAATTGATCCAAATGGATAAAAAGAGGGGATTAGAAGAGTAAATCTTCCAGGAAACAAGCAGGCAGTGAAATCTTATCAATACTTTATTCAGGGTCAGTTGTTTCTCTAAAAGAAGGTCCAAATACATGGAGTGAAAGGGGGAGAGGGAGGAAAACATAAAAAAGTACAATGATATAAACATATTTTTATATCTAGTAATAACTGGCTTAATCTTACCTCATAAGCACCAGGTCCTGGGACCTCGTTTTTGATTTCCTTTCTAAATCTCTTATCTTTGGTTACCATGAGTCCACCCTTCCTGGCAAGCTGACTGCCAAACTCATAAGTTCCTGGACCTAGAATGCAAATGATTAACATGTAAACATATTTTTAAAATAACATAACACTCTTTTTATTTTGTTAAAAAGGCATGTCGATAATATGTAAGAAATTATATAGTATGCTATCATGTTTTGTTTTGTTTTATTTTATTTTGTTTTTGTTTAGGGCAGGTATTTTGAATAGCATCTATAAAAATTTTAAAAAAATTCTTTCATCTATATGACAGCATTTATATTTGCAGAAAATTTCCTTTAATTAATGAAATAAAGTCTGTATAAGTAAATTACATTGTCAATTTTTTTCACATCATTACTGTACCACTGCTGGAAGCTAGTGTAAAATAGGCACATTTAGTTAGATGCACATTTCTCATGGTTGATTAGATATTATCACTGTGACTCAGAGACCACACTATTAATTCCTCCCCTAATGTTCGACTATTGTAATATAAATCTTCTGGAGTTAATTCGAGACATGAATCTTATGTCTATCTAACACGTCATCTTTTTTTTTTTTTGCTTCTTTTCTTGGTCATTCACTTGTAATTCTTTTTAAATCTTTTTAAAATACATTGAAAATTTAGTCTCTGCCATTTGCAATAAACTGAGAAGAAAAATCCAGGTATGTGTCTCTTCATTTTCTTTTCTGACAAAACTTAATAAGCTTCAGAAATACATAGTTTTGCCACTGAGACATACCCATCTGCAAAACACTTTACCTAGGGTAATGCCAAAATACAAAAAAAAAACAGAAAAAAAAAGCAACAAATTTCAGGAAAACTGACGCTGACATGGCATACGCCTGTAATTTTGAGATTGTTTCAACTTTTGCTTGCTTCCCCAATTAAATTATAAATAAAAATGTCTGAGCCAACACATGGCAGATAATGACATATCCTCTTGCATACTGTTTGAACCAGTATCACAGATGGACTACAGTCAAGTTGAATATTTCCCTCTGATAATGATGTTTCTGAACAAATTATGGAATGTTGATGGGCAAAAGAGTTTTAAAAATATAACATGGAGAATTCTTAGTCATATCTTTGAATAAACCCTTTTAATAGAATTTTTCGTGTTCCAGATCCAGTGGTTTTAGTCCAATCTAATTGGGTTTTAAACATGTTATTTGGCTTTGATTTTTATTGAGGCTCTTTTTCAATTTAGCAGCCTCTGTATTTCTGAGGCATGGGACTGGCAAACTTCAGCTGCCCTATAACAAGATTCAATAAGACTGAAATGAAATGTTCTTTTCCTGAGCTGTCACCTGTGCAATGTCAAAGCAGATTAAAATAATCACATAAAAAGATGCCTACATAATTAGATCAAGTAAAGCTATGCCATTGTTTTGATGACTAACACTGAGGAAATCTGTTTCTTTACATCAGGCAATTAAGAAAGCATTATGGTGCTGGTTAATTTGATTAAGTAACAATTCAGTGGAAGGAATAAAATAGAGCCCCTGCAAGGGAACTAATTGGCAGAATTTGAATTGCAAAAATAATGAGTGTGTGGTGCTTTTCTCCCTGGTTATGTTTTTACCTATTCAACAAAAGCTAGAAATTCAATTATTTGACATTTTCCCCTAAGTTGTATGACACATTGAGTCATCTTTTTAAAATAAGTTTTCAATTTTTGTTTGTATTAAAAGATATGACTGATAAAAAGTTATCCTACACAATCAACCTTATATAAAAAAAGTAAAAGATTTCTCACCTGGATTTTCTGCATCTGTACCCTCATAAAGTATGTCCCTTGGTGGGGCAAATCTGGAAGTTGATGATCTGAAGGCTCCTATTCTTCTTGCCGCCTGCTCATTTCTTGGTTTTGGCCCTGTCCTCTTGTCTTGTGAGGCCTGGAAAGACTTGCTCACTTCGTATGATCCTGGAGGTGGCATTTCCTAGAATGAAAATAATTAATATAATACTAATTAGATAAAATCATTAGTTAAAATCAAGATATTTAGAGAAAATTTTTAGAATGGTCACCTGAAAGATTTAATGTAAAATGAATGCATACAGAGAATACGGTAGTGATGCCATGGGCTAACATATTGTTAAAATTCATATTTTTTCTTAATTTTTATACAGTCCAAGTATTGGTGCCTCTGTCATTCAAGTGTCCTTAAATTTTTGTCAATAAAAGATTTCACTGCCCTTTTACTCTATCCACAAGCAAAAAAATAGTCTAGCTGCTAGCAAAAATGAATCCCCTCACACACGATCTGAACATTTACCACCACATACTATTGATTGAGAAAAATCAAGGGACTAATCAATCCTAGAAATATAATAAGAAAACTGCTCATTATGACACATTCGTTTAATCAGAGATCATGAAAACTATCACTACTCCTTTCAAAACTTCTTGCCAATTAATGATGACATTCCACATCTCACAAACAAAGAGTAAACATTCATTTTCATTCAGTTCTTTTTACATTAATCAGGGCAATATGACTGAATGCTGTCCTTTGCATAGCAGACGTCTTATGAGACAAGAGTGATTACTGAATTGTCCTTCAGTTGATTAACAGCAAGCTGCAAAGAACAATACATTCTACTGGAGATGTGTTGTCAGTTTAAAGAAAGAAAATAATAATCATATGAAAAAATTACCGAAGTAAATTAATTTCAATTGGAGAGGGGACAAAGGAGTTCCTCGCCTACTGATAATAGAATTAATTTCCTCCTGGAACTATTAATTAGTTAACAAATGAGTCTTGCACACTGTCTGTGACAAAACACCTGCCCAAGAATAGAATATATTCGGAAGTTGTTTTTCATAATTGTAAAGAATACCAGAATCATTTCATTATTTAATTCAGAATTAAAAAAAACTTGAATGTCACAAAGTGCTTCTTGTACAATGCAATTCACAATGTGATTATATTCTGTTGAAATTTCGGACATAAAAAAACAGACAACACTGTGGTTTTCCTGAATAGAAATCATGTAAATGTATAAATGTGTCATATGTACTAACAATGCAGGTAGCGTGTACTTAAATGTGGGAACTGCTTACTGTTGCATTTAAAAAAAAAAAGAATACAAAAGGACCCAATTAGGAATTTCTGGTTTCTCCAAATGCAACTGATTGTTGCAACTTTGTGTTCTAATAAAATACCTTTTACACTACATACTGAATTGTAAATAGTGCTCTTTTTGTTTATCATTTTATAGTGAATCAGGATAGAAAAAGTCTAACTGCCAGATGGGTTCAGCATTTAGCAGAGAACAAATCTCAGATTATGCTCTAAAGTCTGCTGTATCAGGTAACATTACAGTCTTTTGTTTCCCAATTAGCATTCATATGCCAGAGCCTCAAGAGTACAAGATTTCCACATTGTTAACCTATCAAACCAGGTAAGAAAGTATTATCTGTATAGGTGTTAGCTGACTGAATCTGGCATGTGGATAAAACCCATACATAATCCTCTTTACTTTTCTGAGCAAAGTATGTAGAAACAAAGAAGAGAACTATTCCATCTGAACCCTATTCTTCTGATAACACAACATGAGTTGTTTAAGCCTTGTAGAGCTATCTAAACATTTACTGTGAGTCCTCCATGCCTCCTGTCATCCCCTCTCTGCTACCTCTTCACCATAAGTCACCATTGAAACTCTTTTAGAAGTTATTATGCAATTCTTTGTGTCCTTACTCATAATATGGTCATTTTCAGCACTAACATATTCTTGCTAATCATGATAAGCATGTGTATTTTACATAACATAACAGAGAGCTAAGATTTTAATGGGGAAGTTTGATCTAAGTACACATTTTAAAGCAAGTGGTAGAATCAAGAGATATCATTATATATTCATGATATTGTCCTCTGTTAGCCTATGCAAATATATCAACTCTGACTTATAGGAAAAGCCAAAAGAGCATTTAAAATGGTTTCAACTACCCCGGTAAGCATACTACTTTGTTGAAACAGGTATGGTGGACATTTCTACTGATACAATTATTAAAGTAATCTTAATTAATAATTGCATATTTTCCTCTTTAATATCTATTTCATAAGGAAAAAAACCCACCTTGGCCTGACAGAAATGTGGGAGACAATGAACAAATGGGGAGGAAAATGATTACTGACATGTCTGCCTCCACAAGGGAATAAAGTACAATGACCCGTTTGGCCTTTGTATTGTTCAGCCAGCAAATATGCCATGATAATCAATGTCAGAAACTCATCAATTTCTTCTCTTCATTTTATCCCAGTTTAATGTGGTAAATTTTTTTTGTTGTTATTGTTGTTTAAATTTTTTTAGTAATTGTTTTGAAACTGTTAAATGTCCACAAAAGACAAGTGAAAAAAAAAAAAAGGACTGCATCAAGCCCTTTCCTTGTAAACCCTATTGGTTTAAAAAATATACAAGAAAATAACTAATTTGGCATCTTCAACAAACTGTTTGATAAAAAAAAAAATTACAATTGCATCAGTCTCTGTAAGATTTTATCCCTTACCTTTATAATTGCAGGTGGTTCACTTAACCGTGATGTTAAGGATGAGAAGTTGGCAGTAAGAGTTGGGTAGTTGGGTTGGAAGATTTTTTCTTTTGGTTGATACTGAGCTGGTCCTGGCATTTCTGTGATGTCTTTTTCTGTCATGGGTGCAATGCGGACTGAGGTTGTCCCAAACACACCTTTCCGTGTGCTCTCAATATATGCTTTTTTCATGCTGTCTGCCCCCATACCTGCCACATGATAAGCACCAGGTCCTAAAATAAACAAAAAATTATATAAATAAATTAATTAATAACAAAAAGCTTGTCACAATACATATTTCACATGCATATGCACCCCCCCCCACACACACACAAAGTCATAAAATACAAAATATTTCTTGATAATTATACAAGTATTGACTAAAAATAAAACTGTATCTATATCTATAAATCTAGTGAAACAATCAGAAGATGGTCTTTCATTAACATTATCTTTCATTCTTATTCATTTATATGCAAATGAGAATTATGGTCTTGTGGGATNTGGCATCTTCAACAAACTGTTTGATAAAAAAAAAAAAAAAAAAAAAATACAATTGCACCAGTCTCTGTAAGATTTTATCCCTTACCTTTATAATTGCAGGTGGTTCACTTAACCGTGATGTTAAGGATGAGAAGTTGGCAGTAAGAGTTGGGTAGTTGGGTTGGAAGATTTTTTCTTTTGGTTGATACTGAGCTGGTCCTGGCATTTCTGTGATGTCTTTCTCTGTCATGGGTGCAATGCGGACTGAGGTTGTCCCAAACACACCTTTCCGTGTGCTCTCAATATATGCTTTTTTCATGCTGTCTGCCCCCATACCTGCCACATGATAAGCACCAGGTCCTAAAATAAACAAAAAATTATATAAATAAATTAATTAATAACAAAAAGCTTGTCACAATACATATTTCACATGCATATGCACCCCCCCCACACACACACACAAAGTCATAAAATACAAAATATTTCTTGATAATTATACAAGTATTGACTAAAAATAAAACTGTATCTATATCTATAAATCTAGTGAAACAATCAGAAGATGGTCTTTCATTAACATTATCTTTCATTCTTATTCATTTATATGCAAATGAGAATTATGGTCTTGTGGGACGCTGTCATTGCCATGCCTTCAAAAAAGGCTTCGTTACAAATGGCAGAACTTCAATGCATCAAACGAATCTGACAAGTTTCATGATTTGTGTAATTTTTTCTCGTCTGATGAGTGGCTGACAATTGTATATTGTCACGCTTATCAGAATCAATAGAGAATTATGCCAATCAAGTAAAAGCTTATCTATGTTCTTCTCACTGATAGGAGTAATTCAAGAATTTTTTACCACACAGATACATTTAAAAATCAATGAAAATACAATTAAAACTACTGAATCTCTTTACAATTAGTGGATTTATGAAAATCATGCACAAGTATATTCTTCATTTAGCATGACTATCGAGTTCTGCCAGCAAACATAATTTTTTTCCCTAAAGGCATATTTTGATAATTACAATTTTCATGTGTAAATGTGCATCTATTAGTAGTGCATCTATCCAAAATACCCTTTGAAAAAACAAAGGAACTCATAATTAGGGCAGGTGGATATTTCATTTGCTTCCCCCTACCTCTTGTTGATATACTGGATACTTCTAAAGAGCCTGTTGACTAAGACAGTCTAATCTATACTTATGATGCAAGAATTTACAATCAGGGGTAGACTGAAACTGTCTTCTGGGTCTGCCAGAAGACGTTCAGAATTTTCCAGTCTACATTGAGGGGGACCTAATATTTTCTGTCGGAAGCCAGTCAAAAATAGGGGATGGATCAACAAAGGTAATTTGAAAGACTGTCAGAAAATATCTCTGGATCCGCCAAAAATCAGTTGTTCTCTACGTACCTGGAGTTTTGCGAATATGGTGAGATGGTTGAAATCTGACTGCTGTCTGACCAAAGGGACTCCTCTTCAGGCCTGTCACCCTTTTTAACGATTCGAATGCTGACCTGGGGTCATTGTATGTCCCTGGAGCTGGGGCTTCTGATTTAATGGGGCCAAATCTCTGAAAAATACAAAATAATTTTACATATATTTCACATATTAACAAAGGATAATATCAAATGGTATGAAATGTAGGCACTCTACCAAGACCTTAAAGTATTTTGGAAAAATGAAGAAAAAAGACCATTACAGTTTGTAAAGACAATTAAAAATGTATGAGGAATCAAGAAACGCTATCAATTTGGATTAAAAGTTCATAGACATAACAGAAACAGGCTTAGGCTTTTCATTGTGTCATTAATGTTTCATTTGTTTAACTCAAAGCATTCCGGAAATACAGGATATTTTCCATTCCCACAGATGTCTAATTCACAAAGTCATATGCTTTACTTCAAGGGGGCAATAGACTACATAATCAAATTACTCTGGCCCTTAAAAACAAAATTGGAAGCCAACTTCAAAGGACCTTTCATTCCAATTCAGTATGAATTAGATATCTACTATTACAGCACAACAATAAATTGGCCCCCTCCAATTGTAGTTATAATTGGGCAATCATAAGTTTCTATTATCTAAGGGATCAAACTACCACTTGCAATGGTAATCAAGGTAAAGGGCCTAATTAATTGCAACAAATGTTCAAATAGGGTGAGATACAATTTATGTGTTGTGTACTGAGCTTGTGACAGCCATGCATATTTTCATTTGTGAGTCAGTGCTTGTAAACATCACAGAGCATTCTTCTCAGACAATTTTTCTTCCCGATAAAATCAACACCCTGATATGAATACTGAACTTCCTAACACTCTATATGTGTCTAGAACATGTTAACAATCAAGGCAATGAGTTTACAATGTGAATGTGCATATACCAAAAGGAAATAACTAACATCATCAAATCATTAAATGTGTAGGAAGACACAACTTCCACTCCTAATATATCATATCAGTATTCAGCTGTGAGAAGGGAAATAGATATTGCCATGCTATACCACACTCTTTTTTTTATTCGATTTGACACAAAGACATTTCAACTTGATCCGTCATCAAACTAACCACTAAAAGCGGAAACACATGATGGTTTGATGCTGAGTATATAATCCTCAGAGAAAACAAAATGCATCAAGATTTGTTCAGAGGAGAAGAATGGATTCCCACCTAATGCATTCACTTGTTTGAAGCAAAATAAAGGGAGTTCTTTAAAAATACAAATTTGTCACTTTTTGGATACAGATTTCTCTTACTCTGATGTATAACAAACACACAGCTTACAATTAAAAAAAAAAAGATTTTTAAAGTTTTGCTTACCTTTCCTTGTGATAGAAATGGAGGGTGTTCAACTTCAATTCCTTCTGTGTTCACTTTATTTGGTTGAGATTCAAATTGACCTGGGATTTCATATTTACCCGGGCCTGGAACAGCCTAATAATGATAAAACACAAATTCTTAGAAAATAATGTAAAAAAACATAATGACTTAAAAAAGACAATTGATTTTTATCCAATCTTTTTTCATAGTCATTTACTCTGTTTGAAGTGTACAATTACAGCACCGACAAAATTGTAACAATACTCCAAGTGCAGCAATCCATAGTTCCGTTGACAGAATCAATATCAATTACATTTTCCAAATGGCAATGAAAAAAAGCTGAACTGATTGAGAGCAAGACTACACTTTGCAAACAATTAAGCAAATGTCGATACCCTCTGCAAAGATATGTGAATGAAAATATAACTTACTCATATTGACTCTGTACACCAAATATTTGCTAACAACCTAGACTGCATTGCACATAGGCAATTACCAATCAAGGAAAAGATTGGTGACTTAAATTGACCCACTGGAAATTGAGAAAAGCAACCACGCAATTACCTTTTTCTTTTCTTCTTTCACCACTAATTCATGATATCTTGGAAGCTGGGCTTCATGTTTTTTCTTTTCTATATCTGGCATATTGATGTTTTCTACTTTAACCGCAGACTCCACATAGGGTTCATAATCTCCTGGTCCAGGACCATTTTTGCCAGCAAAATCTGTCCTTTGTGATGTGCGGTTTCCAAAGTGGATACCCTTATAACTCTTTGTGGGTTTTGTGTTTGTTGTCTAGAAGGAAAAATAATTTGTTAAATACTTTTATTTTACACTGATAACCCTAAAACCAAAATATTTAAGGTAATAACAGGTGCAACAAACTACTTCCACATTTTTTTGTTATTGTGTTTTTGGACTGAATAATTTCGAGTTATAATCGACAATTTCTGACCAACAAAGTGAAGGTAACTTACATCCTGTGGTTTATAAAAGGCAGGTCCTAGGGAATTGTCTCTATTTGGTGGTGCTTGCTTCCTGAGTGTACCATCTTCATTTTCCTCATAACCATATGCTTTTCCTGGGCTTGGAATAGAAGGAGCATCTGGCTTACGATGAAATTTAATTTTTGCTGTTGACATCTGAAAACAAAATAATAATACGTTTAACTATGAAAAAATGCATTTATTGATTTTTAGAAGTTGCCTGATCACTAAAAAATGCTTTTTTTGATCTAATCTATACATTCACGTTGACATACACAACAAAAATTCTGCTTTTAAATCATCATTATTTAGTATTTTCTGCATTTTTTTCTTCTTTAATTCAGGCATTAACATAAACACTTACTGTGCTTCCTCTTCCAGATTTATCATGACTGTGACCACTACTTCTTGGGGAAAGAGATTTGACCCAATCACTGGGTTTAGATATGGTATATGCTCCTGGGCCTGGGTTTATATTCATTGAATTGTGGAACCGCTGAGATCTGTTTTGTAAGGTTCTTCCTCCCTAAAAGATAATTTTAAAAAATGTGATTTATTCACTCATCTATTAAATGTGAGTGTGAACAGAGTTTTTGATATAGACACTAGTGACACATTTCTATCATTCATACAAACATACTCCTAAATCATTATAAGTTAAGGCTATGTTTATGAAAGTGTCTGGGATGCTTGCATTAAGAACTATAGCGAGATGTATTAAAGCATAAATAAAATGCAAGTAAAACTATTATGGCAAAATATCCCTGGAATAATTCTAAACCTAGAGGGGTTCATAAATTGCATACATGCAAAACGCTATAAGAACTTAATTTTAATTAAAAAGAAAACTGTACAAAATCCTTTACCTTGATAGTTAATTGTGGGTCCTGTGGATCATAATGCCCGGGCCCTGGGGCTGCTACTACTTGATCATTCTGATTGAGAAATGTTTCTCTGCTTGTCATAGATAAGAATGGTGCATAACCATCATTCTTTTGTCTGCTCTTTGAAGGTAGATCAGCATCATATGTGCCAGGGCCAACACTTTCAGCAGTGCTGCCAAATGGTTTCACCAGTGTTCTTGGTGCTCTGTCATACATGATCTGAGGAAGCAAATTACATATATGATAAATTATTATATTCAAAATCACAATAAAAGCTACCATATCAAAATTATAGCTAATGATAATTTATTCATTTTTTTTTATTTATCCTCCTGTTATGCAACTTTTAAAAATAGCATCACAATAATGGATATGTCCATGATATTTGTATCATAAGCAAAATAAATTATAAATATTTTAAGCAAGATATGAGCTTTCTGACCTATAAACCTTACGATTAAAATACCAGTACATTGCAATTTAAAACAAATCATCTTTGTACCACCTGACAGTATTGTAGGTGAAACGTACAGTAAGTAAGTATTTTCCATGACTTATTAAGCAAAATTAGTTTAAGTGATAATTCGAAAGGCAAGTTAACACAACATCACCACTAAACACGAAACAAGGTCAATTTGCAAAATGTCTAGTTTTCTAGAATCTTTTCTAGAATCATCTATTTAGATGTTTAAAAATATTAATTGAACATAACTGTCACTTACCGTTGGAACGTACACTCCTTCTTGTTATTATTGGTTATCGTCTCAACAAAATATGTCGACTATAGATACAAGGTTGTCGACAATAAAGCGTCCAGCAAAGGGATCAATTTGTTTTGCACACAATGCCCTTCATGTTGCTATGTTCACTGTAGACGTTACTAATGCCGTATGGAAGTACATTAATGCGTCGTAAAAATCAATTACGAAATAATGGCAGTAGAGAGAGTGTATGTTTAGTGTAAGAGACAAAACTTTTCAGTTTAAATAAATATGACCTTCAATTTTTCATTTTTTACTTGGAGTGTTAAAAATTCAGAAACAAAAATCATTTCAAATAACGTCATCATGTAAAGTACCCATTGAAATGGGTTCAAAGTTTATTTCCGGGTTACTCAGTGAGATCACTGGCGGGTGTTATAAAACATTACGGTAAAAATAACCAGTGCTGTTTCCTTTTAATTGTATTTTATGGCACGATCATCAGTTTTATAAAATGAAAACCAAATTATGAATGTGGTCACTTAATCGTTACAGTAGAATGTCTTGTGATCACCGACAGAAAAATCAATGACATTGTCATTGTTAACGTACATGTACTGTACCAGTAGTCTACTGAGAAGTAATAAAATATATGATATTGTTTCTCAAAACAAAGCTACAGCTCTGATCAATATATTCATTTATATACTGAATACCCTTGCCTTTTTGTCATGTAGTCAATGAATAGTTAGAAGGCAAAATAGCTGAACAAGCTACTTAGAACATTTTTTTTTTTTTGCATCATGCCAATCAGTGGCGTGCATTTGCAATAAATCTGTATATGTCTAAAGAACCACCACAAGCATATAATAAATAAATAAATAAATAAATAAATAAATAAATAAATAAATAAATAAAGCCACAAAATAAATAAACGATTTTAGAGAAATAGGAAAACTAGTTTTGAATATGCAACATTGTATGTTCAGACAGATATGTTCATGATATTAATATTTGACAGTTAAAATTACTGGGAATTATATTATATTACTGGGCAATATAATATAATTCCCAGTAATTTTAACTGTCAAATATTAATGATATTAATATTTGACAGTTAAAATTGATATTAATGATATTAATATTTGACAGTTAAAATTACTGGGAATTATATTATATTGCATTTGATAGCTATTCATGACTTTTTTTAACAAACCAAGTTTTACTGGCACATTTGTTATCTGTGAATGATGCACCGGTTTCATCGCATTTCACTGACTGGATTAGAAACTATAATACATTTATTTTCAGGGTCACAGTATAATTTATCTCCAAAAATCTGAGATGGTCCTGCTACGTAATAGAAAACAGACTGGTGAGCCTGTGAAGGAAAAACATATAGTAACAGGTGGTGGAGGCTATCCTGGCTATCGCCTAGGGAAAGCGCTTGTAGCTGAGGGAATACAAGTGGTGTTGTTTGATATTATAGAACCATGTGGGGAATTATTAGAAAGCATGGAGTTTGTTAAGGTAATAAGCAAAGTAAAAAAGAAAAAAAAAACTTGTTGGCATTCTGTGTGATAGTTAGGCAGATCCTGTTATGCAATGGTGAATCTATAAGAGTTGTGAGACTAAAAATTAACAATTGCAAAAGTGCTGCATCTTGACTCATTCATATCCTTAACAACATGCACATAGATGTTAATTTAATATGTTGCAAGCTCTCAAAAGTTTTTTCTTGCTCCAAACAAAAATAATTAAATGATATATCTTGATTAAAGGTTTTTTATGCAGTATTGCTACAATTTAGACATTGGATTACTGTTGGTGATGGCCCTCCTTATAATTTATTTTTTCATTTCAGGGTGATATAAGAAAACAGAGTGATGTGGAAAATGTGGTCAAAGGAGCAGACTGCATATATCATCTGGCATCATATGGTATGTCTGGAAGAGACCAGGTAAAATAAAGAAAAATTGAAAACTTCATTGTTTAATTAAAAAATTCACATTTAAGAAAATTATTCAGGTCTGCAGTACAAATAATACTTGTTGAAAAGTTGAGTGTGTAGAAAGTAGAAATAAAAAAGAAAATATTTTAGATTTAAAGGTGATAGTATTGGAGTTGTAACATAGTCTAACCCTAACTTAGTATGTTATTGTTGAAAAAGGTTTGTGGCATTTTTATTTCTGTAAAGTGTGCTATTTTGATAGTTAAAATGATCACAAAATCACCTGATAACACCTGACATACATGTACCAGAACTGCAATATACATATATATATATATATATATACTCTGTAGTAGTGCTATGTATGGGCCCTTAAGGAGGTTTTGTGTAGAAGGTGGGCTTATTTTTTAGCAAGAATCTCTGTTGTAAAGCATTGACATTGTTCCAGTGAAATATCCATGAAACATTATGACTGAAATAAGTTGCCTACAATTGTGGTCTGAGGCAGTGTGTCTGAACCATCTCTTGAAGCTGGAATTGCGATCTAACAAATTGTTGTGCTTGTACATTGCCTTCAGAATGACTGACTCACCATATACATTTTCACCTCGCCACGATAGATTTTACACACTGATAGGAAAAAAAGTGTGCCAATCAAAAAAGTATGATTCAGGGAAATTAGTTATTTGATAACCATTGTCACATGTGTGCTAAATGCAGATAATAAGAAACCATCAGTTGTGGAAAGAGGACATGTCATTAATGATACCAGATATCAAAAAGCACTGTCATCTTACCTTGCCTCCACTTCACTTGCTACTATAGTCTTCCTCTGATTCTCAATGATTTGGCGTTTCTGTTTAAAACTACCTGAAAAACCAATCGGAACTATTATTAAAGTGCAAAGGCGTGTGTAGTATGATGCATGTTTTTTAATGACTGTTAATGGTTCCATTGAATTTTCCAATGTTGTAGTGATTGAAACAAATGCATTTCCTTGCTATTTCTGTGATTGAAACAATACAAGAAAATGAAGTAGAACTAAGTGCTGACCAGCTTCACTTATCCGAGAAGAGATGACGAGTAATGTGCATTAGTGCATTATTGAAGCTCTTCCTCATGCAGAAAATACAATCAAGTACTTTAAATGGGCAATCTTCCGTTTGTCTTGATTGGGAAAATGCCGCGCAAATGCCAGACTAGTATTTTTGGGTTAAATCTAAAGCTTTTAGGACTTAAGACCAAAATGCAGTGAATTTATTGTCTAGGTAACAGGATTGTGGAGTATTGTCAAATATTTACCTTTATTCAATTTAGTGATGTACCAGTAAATTGACTTAACTTTGAAGCAAGGGGATGGGGAAATTGCAAATGTGAGCTGGGTTAATTTGCATTTATGCCAGATCAAATACATTACCCTGCTCCCCCTCCTTTGATATTTGTTGATCAGCCTGGCAGGCCTGTGATTTGGGAGGATCAAATAGAATATGAAATAATAGCTCAGCAAATCTGAGAAAGAAAGCATTTAATGACAGTCGTGATATTGGCAGAAGGATGAGAATAATGAAACAAATAGAGACTTAGATGGGGAAATGGAACTCATTATTGATCCTATTTATTCTCTATGATATTCAGTTCTTTCTCACAGCTTTTCTCAGTCCAAAAGTATGTTTGTGAGGGCTCTCTTGAATGGGGCTTATTTAAATGAAATATTGGCATTTTTAAGAGATGACCTGTCCAGTCTTTGTTTACATTCACCCTATAGGTATAGCTATAAAGACCAATCTCTCGGACATCTTTTATTCTTTTAATTGACCATCCTTGAAGTTGTCAAGTGCAATTTACTTTACTTTTCATGTAGTTTAATAGTGTCACTCGGAAAAGCAGTTAACTGAAACAACATTTTCCTTTTCCATTTTCCAGCTTAACAAAAAGCAAATAGAAGAAGTGAATATTAAAGGTACACAAAATATAATTGAAGGTAAGGATCCTTTAATGAAGCATCCTGCATTCTATTTACATAGCTATATTAAGCGTGACGGCAACAACAGCTCCATACTTTCCACAATGGACTGCTGTTTTGTTCCTGCTATTGACTTTATCTCAGTGGTTTAAATTAGCTGGAGAATGTTTGATGTTCTTTATTAATGATGAATATCAAATTTCTGCTCTGCTTAAATCTGATTATTGATTAGATTTGTGTTAATGTTGAGCTTAGAACTCTAGGGGGTGTGGACTAATGAATATGGAAAAATGGTCTTTTTAGGCTTAATGGGATCACAATTGACCAAAAAGAAGTTAATTTGTGATAAAAATGTTGATGCTTATGATTAATGCTGGTTTTGTGGATGACTGGGGTTTGGAAATTTCCTACATTAATGTAATACTACCCAACATGAAAATGAATGGTTTCCTTGTAATCTCTTGGTGAATCTGTGATATTTGTTTTAATAAATATGATGTTGGAAACTAAATCTTCAGGGTTAAAGCTAAGAAGGAATCCTTATTGAATTTGCAAAACAAACCAGAGTGACATGTTCACATTTCACATGGTATGAAATGTCTGTGCCTATCCATGCAGGGACTGTAATAATACTAGAAGTCTTGTAGGCTGCCACTTTGATAAAATCTGAAAAATTGCTATTAAACCCCTTAGAGAATTAGATCCACTCAGAAGTGGTATTAATATATGGCATCTAGTTTGTTAAAGTGAATTTCCTATATTTGTCTTTCTAGTATTTATTCCTCTAATTCTTTTGACATTTTGATAATTTTTTTTTGAACTTTAAAAAAATTACTCGTGTTATATGATTCAATCCATTGCAGTTCCTTTTCACTGGTGTAGATCCTGTTTAAAGTGATAAATGGCCATGACAATTGTTTTGTGATGAGGTTTTTTTTTTAAACAAACACACATTAAAGCATTGGATTTGTTTTTATCTTTAAGCCTGTATTAAGTATGGTGTCCAGCGCCTTGTATACACCAGTACCTTCAATGTTGTCTTTGGGGGCCAGGAAATCAGAGATGGAGATGAAACCATACCCTACCTCCCTCTGGAAAAAGTAAGTCATGATAGTGATAATAAGTTATGTCTGAGGTCACTGGAATAACTATATTAGTAAAACTGTTTCAAATATGCAACTGAGAAAAATTATTGGGCCACATTGACGACCAGTTGTGCATTTCAAAGTTATTTGTATTTATTATTTCATCATGCAAGGATTTTTTTTTTGCATTTATTGAGCTTTATATGATAGGATAGTATGACCTTGTCCACATAGGTTTCAAATACATCAACTATTTAAGTAAGTGATTTGGCAATTCAGTATTTCAAGTTTTTAAGTCATTCACTATGACCAGCTCAAAGCATGTGGATTGCTACTACAATTGGTTTTGAAGGCAATTAAAACAAACATGATTGCACTAGGGTTGTCTTTAAAATTACATTTTGTATAACATAACTATAATCCACCAGTAAACTACATTCAATGTTTATATAACCAATAATGAATGTATATGTTTTTGTTGTCATTGTGGCAGTTGAGCACATCCTGATATATATATATATATACTGCTGCAATATTGTTTGCATGGTATCTAAACACAGCACCTAAGTCATGAAGACATACACATTTAGAAAGATAACCCAATGTCAAATCGGGCTAATTGCTATAACAGCAATCAGGATGGTGGAGTATAACCATATAGCATTGGCCTGTCCTAGTGGTAGTCAACAAATTAAATACTTGTTATTAATCCTCAACTGGCTTCAGGGAATTAGAAAAAAATTACAGAAGAAAATCTTTCTGAAGATGAATGTTTTGTTGTTTTGACAGACTTCTTTCTTTAAAATAAAGATATTGTTTCTTCAAAATAAATCCTGTACATCCAACATCAATCAATAGAGACTTTTCACCTAATATATCATTTTATGTTACTTACCTGATGATGACACAAATTGATTTTTGAAAACCCAAAAAGTTTTTTTCCTTTACAAAGTGATTTTTGGAATTTATCCAGAAAACTGAATTGTCCATTGTTCCATGCACATACCTTATTAATCCCAATCCAGTCAGTCTAATTGTACATTCAACCTGTAGCCGGTAGGAAGTGTCAAGTGACAATGTGTGTAAGTAGGTGTCACTGTCTGAGCCAGATTGGTAATACGGGATTGCTCTGAAGCAGCCATATATGTGTATTTAGCCGTAGGAGCACTCTGGGTTGTTCATAAAGAACTACAATAATGCCATGTTTTCATCGGAAATGAAACCCTGAAGTAACACTAATTACATGTGCTCCAAGAATAGGCAACCATATATGTCTACAAGTATGATGATGATGCTCATCTCAACTTGGTGGTCGGTTATATTGGCAAATTATTATACAATTATGGTACTAAGAAGTCGTTAATGCAACCACGTGTTAACATTTTGCTGTCTTTTGTTGATTACTTATTGCGTGTTAGTTCTTCAAAAAACTGATGTGGGGCATCAACTTCTTCCTCTAATGAAGTACTATTATAGTTGATTGTTGCACCAATCTTAAAGTAATTACAGAAACCAAAACAACAGGATGCGGTATATAACAGAAAATATTAAAACAGCCATTATTCTTTTGCCTTCTTTACGCATTACATATCATATGGAATTTTGCTATATGAGGCATTGGGAAGAACCTCAAAGATAAACGAGTGAGTTTTATACTCATGTTATATGATATTTTTCTGATTAGCTTCTTGCATGAAAAAGTGTCATGTTTTAGAAGATAAGCCCTACACTCCTTACTAGAAACTGACACACCATTTTAAGATGTTTTTTTTTTTCGATTTAGAAGAAATGTTAATACAGACATTAACGGACTTCAGATGAAGTAATATCATGAGATTATCTGTTAAAAGGCTATATCATTTGTGTGGTGCATGTCTAAGATTCATCCGTGATAGAAAAATACTATTAAAAATATCAATAAGATATAATATAGATTGAGACTGGGTTGCAAAGCTGTACTATACAGATGTGGTACAATACCACAGTGAACCAATGAGCACATTCAGACAAGCAGACTATCAGATCCTCAGATAAAATCTGGCAAACCCACTTGATTGCTTATTGCGTAAACCCCATGGGCAATCTGTTCAGTGTCTAATTGGGAATGAAGCGGCAAGCTTTTAAATGGGCCGCCATATTAGATCTGTGGATGCTAGTCTGCTCTTCCGAATGTGCTCAATGAGGGCTTACTAATGAGTCTTATTACACTGACAGTCTGATTATAACTCAAGATGAGATGCAGCTAGCCACATACAGTGTACAAGTACAGATTCAATTAATAGTTCATAAAGTGGGAATTAACAAAGGAGTTGTAACAGGTATCTGAGCTGTACAGGTTTTAAATGTTTATGAATTAAAAGTATACAATGATTAGGGGGAAAGGCATAAAACCAAATTAGTTAGGGAGCATTCAGATGAACACATCATACTAATTCAGTCGGTCCAATTCTGCTGGGGCTTTCACTAAGTTCAGTCGGCTTAACTGAATCACACGCCTCTTCGAGCAGCTAGTTAAAAGTTAATTACCCCCTAGCTGCTCAAGGATGCATGTCAGACAATAAAGGTCATTCCACTGATTGCACATAGTCAGAATCCCCTGCAGAGTTGGACCAGCCCAACTAGTATGGTGTGTCTATGGCCCCGTTCAGAATGAGAAGATTTGAGTGCTAACTGGTCCACGGCTTAAATATGGTGGACCTACATGAAAGGAAGACCACTTAATCCTGTAATGGTCTCTCCGCCTCTCACACGCCTCCCCACACATCGTCCCTGCACAGTAATTAAATCTCAACTCCATTCGACCAGATGCCTTGGACCAGGATCTTTTATTCTGAATGGCCTCTATCTGAATGGGGTCTAAATTATTATAATTCGTTGCTGGCACATTTAGAATTTTGAAGCTAAACCCATGATTTTAGCAATCAGTATATATTTTTGTAGGCCTGTATATCAGTGTTCCACCTGTGTGGGTGGTAGAAACATTACCAGCATTTCCTGTGCTGTGTAGATTTTCAATCCCAATTTATGAATATAGAGTTCATTGTGAAAAAAAATCCCTGAAACAGAGCCCTACATGCATTGTGATATGCACAGCTGCAGTAAAATAAGAGATAATTAAGCAGGTTCAAATGACAAATAAAGATAAACAGTTGTGCTGTCAGGAAGGCCGGCACATGCAGGCAGTTGTAAGTAGGCAGTTTTACGTGATATGTGTATTAATACTAATGTGTGTGCTGTGAGTCACAACTGCTCTTTGCTTGGGCTCCCATGACAGTAACTTTTTTTGAGGCAATAAATGATAAAAAAGGTCAACAATGGATTTGTAAATCAGCTCATTTCACCAATAGATGCAAAAACTTTACTATTAAAGATATTTGCTGATTTTCTATCTACACCATTTAGGATATTTTTTACTCATACCCAGGGGTTAAAAGTCACTGTAATGTTCACTTAATATTCTACCATCTATTTTATTGTTAGTGTTTGTTTGGGTGGCATGTGTATGGGTGTGTTGGTAATGAATTTACCAGTATTGCAAAACCAGCTCATATACCTATGGTGAAAATTTTAGTCTTCAAATCTTTCTAAAATACAAACATTGAACATAGCCTCTCAGACAGTATCATATTTGTCCTTCAAATTTATTTTACAGCATCCAGACCACTATTCCAGAACTAAATCAATTGCAGAAATGAAAGTTATGGAAGCTAATGGAACTAAAATTGCAGATGGAAGGGTGTTGAGTACCTGTGCTCTCCGCTTGGCGGGGGTGTATGGTCCTGGAGAAATGCGGCATCTTCCTAGAATTGTGGTATGTTATTGTGTTAAAGGTAACATTAAGTCAAAAGCCTATAACATTTGCTTACACATAATACATATCTTGGCTTTCTTTCTCCTTAGTGTGCCCATGATATAAAACACAGGTGCTGGGCTGTCTTCCTCCATGCACTCTAAAATTGAACAAATGGGGGAAGTTCAGCATCTGAACTATATTTCATGAGCATATCTGGGACAAAGAAAGCCAAGATATATAGTTACTTGGTTCACATATGCTTTCAAGTGTACAGTGTGTGGATGAGACAAAATGTGAAGGTTACACAGGGAGCTCAACCCCCTTGAAGGGGGGGGGGGAGGGGGAATATTTCCAGGCCAGGAAAATTTGAGAATTTTTTTCAGGTGCGTTAAGGGTGTCCCACAGGTAATTATGTTGCACTGATATGAATATTATATAAAAATAAAGTGTGTTGAAAACAGGTTTTTAGTTGTAATTTTAACTTTTGATGCTAAAACCATAATTTCATTCAGAGATAAGCATACGCTATGACCCTGATTGATTCTGTGTCGCTGCCATTCTGAATATAAAACAAGAACCCAGGAAATACAGGTGGAACAAATAAGGAAGGGCAAAGTTACTTTGTATCAAAGTTATTGATTTTTGGTATAAAATTTCAAATTAAAAGGGGTCACTATTTTCCTTTGGACTGCATTATTCATTTTTTGCATGTTGTTTTATGAATTTCATTTAACTTGGTTTCAGTCAGAAAAAAATGCTGTTTGTTATCACTAGAGAAATATAAGGTACTTTTTGCAATAAGATCCGAGAAATGATTGTCAAGCAGTTTTCCTGGAAAATGTGTGTCTGACAAAACATGGCTGAAAATTACTTTAATTAGTTCAGTGCTTTCACCAAGCAGATGACTTCATTTCCCAAAGTGTAGGGCCTAGAATTGATCTCAGCTGAAATTGATTCTCTGCCACTTTCAAATCCACTTGTGGAAATGAAACTTTTGTAACATTGTGCTCATGTGGTAGCAGTCCATGCATTTAAATGGAGCATTTGAACAATACTTTAATCAGGGGAAGTTACAAATATAAGATGATCAGCCTCAAGATCCAGTGACAATTGTTTCACATTATAAAAGTTTTTCACATATCACCCAACAAGATGACATGAGCCCATTTTGCATCAAGTGGTATATTTTAGTGGGACAGCTATACCAGTATGTTTTGAGAAATTAGCAACTTAATAGCCTGGGTATATCATAAGAGATTCATCACGGTCAATTAAGTTACTAGGCAGCAGTAAGCAAATTCATGGAAAACTTGTGATAGAAGGTTAAAGGGATAATAACTCTTCGTTTCGGTCAAAAAATGAATTTTCCTGGAGTAAACAACAATTTTCCCATACTTACCAATGGTTAATGAATCCATTTTTACATTCGAAGTTAGTCCTTGTTTTTTTTCTAAAAAGTTTGGTTTTTTGTTAAAATCTCTTAAGAGATTTTAACAGAGTATAGCCATCAATGGAGGTCACGTGGTCTAAAGACAAGCTTAGATATCAGAATAATAGCTTTAACTGTTGTTTTTGTGGTAAAACAGAATATATTATATTTGTATGTGTTATATATTCACAATGTTTTTATTGTGAAATATAGATCTCATACAAAGAGTTATTATCCCTTTAAGTCCACTGCAGCATAATTACGTGTTAGGACCTCTCAAAGTGTAACAGTATAGCTGTAGTGTTAAAGTACATATACAGCTCTTTGTGAAATAGGCTTTAAAAGTTCAATACTGTATCGGGATATTTTTTACGACTCTATCTGAATGCAGCTTGTTTTTTTTTAGTATCTTTATTTTAAGAGTTGCACTTCACTTACTGCTGTAAGTTGTTGTATTGCTGGTCACTAAAACAAAAAAAGTACAAAACACCTTACAAAACACCTTGCAAATAGAACAATAGTCTTTATAAATAAATGAAATTAGAATAAAACTTACATTAGTATGGAGTCATATGGTAAGAATACTATTATTACATCCTCCTGGTCTGAGTGTGATCTGAATGTGGTCTGGATGTGGTTGAATGAGACCCAGAGTCACATGAGTGAGTATATTTGTTCTACTCCTGAGTGCCATAGTGAGCAGTTATCAAGAGGGCTTTAAAAGTACATTGTAAGAGTACATGTTCAATGGCTTGTCTTTTTTATGCTTCAGGTATGACCAAATTTGGTTGCAGCAAAATACCACCCTTCAAAATATATTTTAAAATACCAAGTGTCAACTTACGAAAAACATCTCTTGATGAGTTGCTTAAAACATATTATTTTTAGTGTATTGACCGATGTCTTAACAGGGCAAAAGACCTAGATATGGGGCATCTCTCATGCATGCATGCATGCAATCTACGTTTGTGACACCATGTTCAAGTCTTGTTTTTGACATGTGCAGCATGGTACACGACTGACTCCTGCTCTCTGTTGCCTGAAAACAGTCTATATTCACATGTTCTGAGGAGATTTTGATTTTTCTAAAGCATTTGATTCATTTTCAATTCAACTACAAGGGAATATTAGAAATTGCCAATAAAACTTCCCTGTGAAGTTACAGATAAAGGCATGCATTGACTTTTCACTTGCAAATGTGGTATTTTAAGCTTGTAATGCTGACTTTTTTCAAAAGATATTAGATAAAAGAAAATGGATCTACAGAGAGTTTAATTTTGTAATCAGAGTGGCTAAATATTTGCATTCCAAATGCGGAATTTGATGGCATTGTTCTGTGGGGAACTCATAAGATTTTTTCTTTTTCCCTTGATCTCTCTTAAAGATAAAGAATTCATTTTGTTTATTGCAGTGACTTATTAAAACATCCCTAAAGTGCAGATTTAAATTTTTGATTGTATTTCATTTATTGACTAGGATCTGTGATAAGATACCTAGATGGTTCTGCTGAGATTTCTCGATTTGAATGTAATTGCCAGCAGCACTTGGGAATTATTTACCATTTACCCTGTCTTATCTGTTTATTTACAGTAGCTTGGCCTATGAAGCCCAGCAGTTTCCTTGCTGTTAGAAGATCTTTATTTTGTGTTCTTGTCAAGTTTAAGAGCATAAAATTATGTCCAGTAGTAGGGAAGTTTCTCATGCATGCATATCCCTTCTGGCCAAACATGACATATTAACACATTACTGTTATGCACGCAGAAAAATTATTAAAAATTATCACAGGTGAATATTTGATATTTATCTCCCCTAAGGAGGTTATATTTTCACCATGGTTTGTATGTCTGTCTGCAGGTCTGTTTGTTTGTCACCAGCCTAACTCAGAAAGTTGTGGATGGTTTTTGTTGAAATTTTCTGGATAGGTCAGAAATGGGCTAACTTAAATCTTAAAAGTGATAAGATTTTGGTGAGGATTCAATGAAATAATTTAATAGATATAATAAATTATATGAAATTGTAATAAATTAATAAATATATTAAAGCATAAATTAATAGTTAATTCTTAGTTAATTTTTGGTTTTGATGGATGTTTATCTTTTTCTCTTTCTTGTTCAGTTCAGGTCAGTTGATCTTATATCTGTTCAGCATATTTTTTTCATGTGAATTTGTTTTCATTGTGTATATGGATGGTGGCCAAAGAAATTTGTAGAAAATATTACATTCTATGTATGAGGAATGTGGTTCAGCTAGAAATTTTGTAGGTTATAATATATGAACATGGACATTTTGAAAAATCTGCTTTACCTCATTAAAAAAAAAAGTCTTAGCTGGAAGCTTTGTGGGCTGCACACAAAGGAGGTTGTGAAGACCCGACAAAGTTCCATTTTAAAAGAAACTGTTTCATCTGAAAGATGTGAAGGTTTGACAGTATTGATCCAGCATTGATATACCAATGCAATGCTATGTAGTTCTTGTCAGGAGGTAAAGTAAGCCTTGGTCTCTGGGGGAGATGTTGCTCAGCTGGAGAGCTGTGATGGCTTACACGGATAGCCAAGTGAGCTCTTGGGGAGTGTTTCACTGTGGTCCAACTTTGGGGTCTGTTCACACAACGTGCTCTTTGGACTGATTCCTGAAAGTTGGGAGATTTAAGTTCTAAATGAAGCTGTTTTTTTTAAGTGGCTTTTACAGCTGGTTCTTGAGTCTTACATGGGCATGAGGTCTCTGAATGTACTTATTGCTGTGTTATTATAAAGGTGCTGTTCACCCCCCCCCCCCAAAAAAAAAAAAAAGAAAAAAAAAATGTGTCCAGACTGATCCTGAACTTCCATTTAGATTGGCTCTAAGCATGTCTTGTATTAGCTATATAGATTCTCACATACTACACATTTCTTCAAGTTCAGAAACATCTCCTAAGCAAAGAACACACTTCACCTGGTTACTTGACTACCTGCTGTGTACCCAGTTTATGTAATGCAATCAAAATCAATTGTGCTGTGCTGTGTGCTGTGAACTAATGAAACATTTTATTCATCCAAGGTTTAGCCCTAACCAATTTATATCCAATCTATATGATAGCTAATGTAAACACCCCCATTTTTTATGTTATGAAAAAGGATGCAGCATAAAAGCCTAATTAAATTTATTGAAGATATTTTTGCATGCTTTTATCCATTGGGTTTCAGCCGTTATGCAATTGTAAGTTCGTGTTCTAATAACTTCTCTTTCTGCTTCCGTTGTCATTTTCATTTGGGGAATTTATGTCAGTGGCAGCTCGAAGTTTATCAATAATGGAATATTTGGAGAAAATATATGTTTTACTAATGCCATCAGGGGCACATTTCTTGGAATGCGATAAAATGGGTTGACACATCATTTTCTAATTTTTGTTTAAAAGGTTTTTTTCTGATCACCTTGGAAATTCATGAGACAGATGTAATCACAAATTGAGTGATATGATTCTAATTCTTTTTTCCCTTTTATCCTTCACTGTTCCTCTTGAAAATGATTTATTACATTCTATATCAGTAAATCTGAAAATCATTTGATTTAGCATAGTTTGATCAAGATAAATGACTCTGGGATGATATCT